TTAGTAGAGACGGGGTTTCACCATGTTGACCAGGATGGTCTCGATCTCTTGACCTCGTGATCCACCCGCCTCGGCCTCCCAAAGTGCTGGGATTACAGGTGTGAGCCACCGCGCCCGGCCAACTTCTTCCTTCTAACAATAAATCGTGGATGTCTGTCTCTTCTCATTTGACGATTCTTTGTCCTTGTACCTGCGTGACTCTTCGAGCGCCAGCTTTCTGCCTGCCTTTCCTCCTCCCGGGATTTTGAGAATCCCTGGCTTCGCAGGGTGCCGGGCTGCGGGAGGTCTGCCGGTGGGTGGAGTCCGGGGCCGCCCGAGACATGTAGATGAGGTGGGCGGGGCCCTACTCGAAACCGCTGGTAGCCCTGGGCAGACGCGCCCAGCTTGGACGCGCTCAGTCAGAGGCAGCCAGTGGAACCTGCTTTCTCAAGCGCAGCGAAGCCGGGTCCCGGGCTGGCCCCTCTGCTGCCCCCGGAACGGGCCATGCCGCCGCGGGAGCTGAGCGAGGCTGAGTCTCCCCAGCTCCGGGCCCCGACCCCTCCCCCGCGGCGGCGTAGCGCTCCCCCAGAGCTGGGTATCAAGTGCGTGCTGGTGGGCGACGGCGCCGTGGGCAAGAGCAGCCTTATCGTCAGCTACACCTGCAATGGTTACCCCGCGCGCTACCGGCCCACGGCGCTGGACACCTTCTCCGGTACGTACGTTCAACCGCCCGGGCCGCCGCGTGGTTGCGGCGGGGCTGTGCATTCGGGAGCTGGGGCGGGCGTCGCGGTGGGAGGGCGCCGAGGACCCCGAGGAGGAGGAGGGAGCAAGCCCCGAGGGGGCGCTGGTGCGGCCCAGGGCGCTCTTGGTAACTCAGGCTCTCCCCGCCCCGCCCCTGCAGTGCAAGTCCTGGTGGATGGAGCTCCGGTGCGCATTGAGCTCTGGGACACAGCGGGACAGGTGAGAAGCTGGGCACAGCCTCTACTGGTCTGCGGGGAGGTGGGCTGGAGGCTGGGAGGACCCCAGATGGAACAGGAATGGAGAAAGCCTTGGGCTCTTGGAGTCTCAGTTTCCAGCCCCAGGTGAGAAATGGATTCCGTGTGGCGGGGGACTAATCATAACGACCGGGCCTTCCCACCCCAGGAGGATTTTGACCGACTTCGTTCCCTCTGCTACCCGGATACGGATGTCTTCCTGGCATGCTTCAGCGTGGTGCAGCCCAGCTCCTTTCAAAACATCACAGAGAAATGGCTGCCCGAGATCCGCACGCACAACCCCCAGGCGCCTGTGCTGCTGGTGGGCACCCAGGCCGACCTGAGGGACGATGTCAACGTACTGATTCAGCTGGACCAGTGGGGCCGGGAGGGCCCAGTGCCGCAACCCCAGGCTCAGGGTCTGGCGGAGAAGATCCGAGCCTGCTGCTACCTGGAGTGCTCAGCCTTGACGCAGAAGAACTTGAAGGAAGTATTTGACTCTGCCATTCTCAGTGCCATTGAGCACAAAGCCCGGCTGGAGAAGAAACTGAATGCCAAAGGTGTGCGCACCCTCTCCCGCTGCCGCTGGAAGAAGTTCTTCTGCTTCGTTTGAGCAGCTATGGCTGCATAGAAAGTGGTAGGCAGGAGGCCAGAGACTTCTGGGACCTGGGGCACCAGGGCCTTTGTGGGAGCTACTGGCAGGGCCGCCTCATGGGACTCAGTTCCCTTCCGAACAGTCAGGGGACATGTGCCTCTAACTGCCCACTGTGATATGCCCCGGTGAGCCTAGGAGGGAAGGCTCTGATTTGGATTTCTCCAGTCAAAGCTCACAGAAAAAGCCTGGCACTTTGATTTTCATGGGATGGTCCTAACAGGGTCAGTTACCTCCTAGCAGTTTGGGATCCAGTTCCCAGTTTCTTATCCTGGGCCCTCAGGTCAGCCTGTCTGAATTAGGACTCTTCCTTGGCCCAGGGGTGAGGAAGAGCTTGGGAAACACCTGGCATCGTGGAGGGCTGGAAGGGGTTCAGCCCTGGTTTGGAGAGAAGTTTGGGATGGGGTGGGCAACAGATTGAGAAGACGGAGCAGGAAGGGAGGCCTTGGAACCGTGAGACTGATGGTGAATAAGGGCTGGGCCTGGAAGGAAGATGACAAGGAGAAGGAGAGAGGGAAGTGGGGCAGATGAGGAGCAGGCTGACACCTGAGCTGCCCTCAACCCCCAAGGCCAGGGAGGGCGGGGCTGGCCCTGGGAAGAACTGGGTCTCTGGGCTCCCTAGGCACTGCCCAAACTGGCTGGGCCAGGAGTGGGGCAGGAAGTGAGAGTCAAGACCCAGCAAAAGGAGGGGGAGGAGCTGCAAATTAGAGCCTGAAGGAGGATGGAGTTGGGGATCATCCCTTTCCTCAAGGGCACACAGCCTAGAAGCAACAGCAGTTCAGAGTCTGCAAATAAAACCTTAAGTCTGTGAAGCTGTGCATTGTCTCTGTCATTTCCTGGAGCGCAGTGCTCCCTCATAACCCTTCTCAAGGCCCAACTGCCTGGCTAGAGACAGACGGGGGACCAAAGGACTGAGACTGGATTGAAGGGTGGGGGCTGGACAGGGGGTGAGGACAGTGTGATGGGAACTGAACTGGGTGGGTAGGTATGGGGCTTCGCACTTGGGACTCAGCTGGTTCCCAGGAGAGCTAGCGTGGGAAGCGGCCTGGAAACGGGTTTCCCCAGGTGTCAGCGCCAGAGCTGGTTTCCCATGACTTCACCTGGTGGGTGGAGCCCCTCCCCTCCACCCCTCCTTTCTAGTGCACCGTGCTCAGCAGTGGAGTTCAAGGTCAGTCCCCAGCCTTCTAACTTTTCTGCTCTGTTCCTTCTAGCAGTTCACAGGGCCCAGGGGCTCAGGTTGGGGGACCATCCCCCCCACCTGCATTCACAGCCTGAACATAGAGGGAACCCATACAACCTAAACTTCAATCACTGGCCAGCGTTCTTAGACTCAGGTTGGACCCTGTCTTCAGTGGTGGCCCTAAGGACCTAGTGAAGGTCAGGGTGCTGGTTGTGAGCAACTTAAATAGGGGTTTGGCTCTAGAAATACTGTGTAAGAACAGGTTCTTTGGGAGAGGACTTGGAGAGGAGCAGGGATCCAGAGAACATTCCCTCGTATTGGAGCTTGAAGGGACTCTGAAGGGCACCCAGGGGGAAAATGAAAGAAAACGAAAACTTACTTTACCATAAAGAGACTGAGAGCCAGGTAGAAAAGGTAATAGCTTCAGTGATATGTATCATCCAGTGACTGTAAGAGCACTTGGCAAATTCTAGAGTTGGGTACAGGGGTATGTGTTACTCTGGGAGAGGAATTTCTAAGGCACACCTGGCACACCTGCTAGGCAGCTGCTGGGTCAGGTGAGCTCTCATGCCCTGGCCCAGCCCACCTCTGGGCCCAGCTCCCTCTGTAGGAAGCTACAGCTGTATGTGTGTGTGTGTGTGTGTGTGTGTGTGTGTGTGTGTGTGTTCTAGTTCTGTGTGTGTGAAAGCGCATGGCTGAGGGACAGGAATCCTAGCCAAGTGAAACCTCAGATAATCCCCAAGTTTAGTTTTAGCCAAGACTGTCCACTTCCTGCCCCACCAAGGCCTATTCCCAGAGCTCCCAGCCACCTGGAGCTCCTTTTGTCCCCTTGCCCCCTCAGGTGGAGGTGCTGAGGGTCTCATACCCCAGCAGCATGGCCTGTTGTTACCTCGACCCAGCCTGACACATTCCCCTCAGGGGCAGAGACCTGGGTTCAGGTACAGACTCTAACATCAACCATGACCTTAGGCAAATCATTTCCCTTCTCTATGCCTCAGTCTTCATTTGAAAAATGAAGTACTCAGGACTCGGACTGGCTTTGAGGTTCTTAAATTTGTTCTGAGGGGCCCTGGAGGTGCCTTGGGGTAGGGGAGGAAGCCTAATCAGGTTATCCTTGGACCCCCTGCCCCACCTCCAACTTCTTCCCTAATTCTCCCTTGTGGTACCAGTATATCCATGTCACCCAAATAGAAACCTCAGTCACCATGCCTCCTCTTACTGGCTCTCCAAGTCTGGTCAGGACCTCTGTCACCCACACCTAACGTCCCTGCCACTTCGGCTCCCCATTCCGATCTGTCCCGTGCTGCTGCCTCTACTCTGGCACACCCAGACTCAAGACTCAAGACTGTTAGTGGCTCTCACTGTTGATGATGAACTTCCAGCTCCTCATTTCAGCATTCGAAGCCCTCTGAAATCTGACTGCCCCTGGACTAGGCCGGTTTGGCCCAGTAATCCCCAGCTATCTCCTGACTCCCAGCCTCCCAGTCTTGGCTTTTGCCAGATCCCTTAGTTTGGAAAATGCCCCCTGCCACCTCCCAGATGCCCTGTTTCTCCTCAGGATAACCAGCTTTCAATACCTCCCTCCTCCAGAAACGATGCTTCCCTGTATCCGTGTCTTCACTGCTCCCTTGGCACACTGAGGATGCTCGGCGTTTTGGCTGCATCTTTCCAGCTAAATGAAGAGAGAGAGGGAAAGCCTCATTTAAGTCCCTCTTGCTCCCAAAAGGGCTGGGACTCAGGCAATGTTTGCTGCTGACCCTGAAATGCTTAGGAATAAAAAGCCCTGGAAGAGACTGTGAGGATCAAGTTCAGCTCTAGATTTGGAGCCTGATGACTGAGGCCTAAGGTCAGTGGCTTTCCAGAAAGGATCTCTAAGGCTCTGGGCCCAAGCCCGTGCAGAACAAGAATGATTCACCTCTGCTTCCGAATCCACTGGTTCTCCCTGGTTCTGTCTGTTTTTCTCTAGAATACGGTGTCTACTTTTCTGTGACAGTTTTTTCATTTGTATCTCTCTGTCTCTGTTTCCTTGGCCTCCTTTCCCTTCTCTCTGCTCTTTTAAATCTATATTTAAAGGAATATTTATTATATTAATTGGATAAAATTATATGTTTCTTACATATGCATTCTTACATATGTCCTTATTAATGTAAATTGCCTTTAATGTCTGTGTAACACTCAGTTGATTTTTTTCAATTTTTTTTTTTTTTTTGAGATGGAGTCTCAGTCTGTCACCCAGGCTGGAGTACAGTGGCACGATCTTGGCTCACTGCAACCTCCAGCTCCCAGGTTTAAGTGATTCTCCTGCCTCAGCCTCCCAAGTACCTGGGATTACAGGTGTCCACCACCACACCCAGCTAATTTTTTTGTTTTTTGTTTTGCAATGGAGTCTCGCTCTGTTGCCCAGGCTGGAGTACACTGGCATGATCTCCGCTCACTGCAACCTCCGCCTCCTGGGTTCAAGGGATTCCCCTACCTCAGCCTCCCAAGTGGCTGGGATTACAGGCATGTATCGCCACACCTGGCTGATTTTTGAATTTTTAGTAGAGACGGGGTTTCACCAAGTTGGCCAGGCTGGTCTCTTAACTCCTGACCTCAAGTGATCCACCCACCTTGACTTCCCAAAGTGCTGGGATTACAGGCATGAGCCATGGCACCCAGCTGTTTTCCATTTTTTTGAGACAGCATCTTGCACTGTCACCCAGGCTGGAGTGCAGTGGTGTGACCATGGCTTACTGCAGCCTTGAACTCCTAGGCTCAAGCAATGCTTTTGCCTCAGTCTCTCAAGTAGCAAGAACTATAGACATGCACTACGATTAGGTACACACCTAATTCAACCATTTTTTTTTTTTTTTTGTAGGGATGAGGTGTAGCTATGCTGTTTAGATTAGTCTCGAATTCCTGAGCTCAAGTGATCCTCCTGCCTCAGCCTCCCAAACTGCTGGGATTACAGGTGTGAGCCACTTCACCTGGCTGGATTGTTTTTTTAAATTTTTTTTTCTGTAATAAATACTCAGAAAAATTAGGAAATTCAAAGATTTAGGCCGGGCGCGGTGGCTCAAGCCTGTAATCCCAGCACTTTGGGAGGCCGAGGCAGGTGGATCA